TCTTCTACTTCTACTACTACTTCTACTACTACTACTACTACTACTACTACTACTACTACTACTACTACTACTACTACTACTACTACTACTACTACTACTACTACTACTACTACTACTACTACTACTACTACTACTACTACTACTACTACTACTACTACTACTACTACTACTACTACTACTACTACTACTACTACTACTACTACTACTACTACTACTACTACTACTACTACTACTACTACTACTACTACTACTACCTACTACTACTACTACTACTACTACTACTACTACTACTACTACTACTACTACTACTACTACTACTACTACTACTACCAGTACTACGGCGACGACGACATTTACTCCAAATACGGAATTGTCTACTGGTAATAAGATCCGTTGGCCCTCTGGTGGGGCCATCAGGCTGCGCGGCTAAGGTGTCGAGTTCCCTGTGCCAGTTCCAACATGCAATCCCCAATGATACAGGTGCTCTTCCTACTCACTACCATAAACTATTGCTGTACACGCGAGGGGGCGAAAACCACACGGGCCACCGCGCCCGGGTCGCGTGGTTTGAATTCCCGGTGGCCCTGGGACACATCAAATACTTAAGAATCGCGCCCCCGAAACAGTAACCCGTTGCAAATGAAACCAAAATCGCGTTCCCGAGGCCAGAATCTTGAGTACCTTACGCCAAAGTCGCAATCCCGATGCCAGAATGCTTAGAAAATGATCCTGGCGAGGGACCCAACCATATGCAGTTGTGAGTAACGCCAACACCACAGGATGGTTGGGAATTATGCAAGGTTCGCACTCCCGAGGCCAGATGGAAATTACGCCAGGTTCGCGCTCGCGCCACGATGGCACCAAGATAGTCCCCGAGGCTCCCAGGAGTGCCCCGAGAGGGCCCAAAGAGGCGCCCAGGAGGCCCCAAGAGGCACCCAAGATGCGATGCCTCCAGAAGGACCCTAAGGGACTCTCAAGAGATCCCCAAGAGGCCCGAAAAAACTTCCACGAGGCACCCAAGACGCTTCAAGAGACCAACGTGACCGCCACGAGTCGCCAAAGAGGCCCCAAGACGCCTACAAAAAACTCTCAAGGGCATCCAATATCCAGTGGGCCTTTGGCCTTTTTCTGCTCGTCCTCCTCCTCCTCCTCCTCCTCCTCCTCCTCCTCCTCCTCCTTCTCCTCCCTCTCCTCCTCCTAATCAGCCTAATTAGCCTTCCTCCTCATCCCTCCCCCCCTCCCTCCTCCCTCCTCCCCCATTCCCCCCCCATCCTCCTCCTCCTCCTCCCTCCTCCTCCTCCTCCTCCTCCTCCTCCTCCTCCTCCTCCTCCTCCCCCTCCTCCTCCTCCCTCCTCCTCCCTCCTCCTCCTCCTCCTCCTCCTCCTCCTCCTCCTCCTCCTCCTCCTCCTCACCTGATTCCTCCTCCATGCTCCCCTTTCTCGGGGTATGACCACTTTCCAGCCTTCCATGCCTCATCAGGGCAACTCGCCTGGGCATCGTTTCTGGCTGGGCTGGCGGGGTTACTTTTTTGGTCGCGGCCACAAGACGACGGTCAGGCGGCGAAGGCAAAGTCCGGGACGCGAACTAGGCGAATTAGCTAAGACAGGCGCGGCCGGCCGGCCCACTCAGACAGCTGCAAGGCTGGTGGGGTTACTATTTTTTTAGCCGCGGGCGGAAGCGCCAGCGGCGGCGGGTAACGGTCGGGCTGCGGCCGCTACAAATTGGCCGGGAGCGCGCGCGAACCGCGGCCGGCGCCGGGCGGCGGGTGCAAGGATGCTGCTGCCCAGGGAGTCGGATGGGGACCCAGCACCCAGGGAGAAGTAAGTACGCTGCCAAAGTGGCGCGATGCAAGACCCCCACCGTGTAAGAGGCTACAGAACAAAGGCGGTTTGAGACACGAACTGAACAAAAGGAACTCCCCAACCTCGGCGGGAATGAAGTGCGAGGGGATCCAGTTGACCTGCCGTGCACAATCATCAACCGAAAGACATACGAGCAGTCGTCAGTCGGCATCCCGTACGAAAGGTTAGCTCTGACAGCGCCAGCTAACCGTCGCAGCTTCAGAGTACGCACCCACACAGCCCAAAGGCGTGGAGTTCGTGGTGTCGAACCGGACCAGGCACGCCAGGCCCAGGAGACAGCCGCGAATGGATGCGAACGCAAACGACCATCAAGTGACATGATGTAACGCTATGCGGAAAGGTACAACAGTCCCACTCCACAACCGGCCACAAATCGCAAGCGACGCCAACTGGATTAGAACAAGACGTGTACCAGGGAGCAACTAACGTGACCAGCACAACCGGAACCGCCTAACCAAAGTACCCTGGCGTACCTGAGTGGAGTAGACGAAGGCGCTCGAGGAGCGGTGCTGCCTCCTACCAGCTGCAGCCCAAGACAGCCAGCGGTCACGAAGAAGCCCAGGGAAGACCGCTCGTCCGGGTGGAGCGGGGGCGCGACGGTGGGATGATGCCAGCCCAGGCAACCGTAACTGGCGGCAAGCAAAGGAACAGCGAACCACTGCACAGATGTGGGATCAGTCTTCTGACCACCCGCTGCCACACTGAGGCCGGTGCGCGCAGGTGGGTGCGCAACTGACCCTACGGGTGGGCAACCCAAGTCATCGTCACCGGAGGGGTACCTCAACGGCACCAGAAGAACACCGCCTGGTCTACGTTGAAGACCCGCTGTCGGGAAGCCACCCGCCCACAGTCGCTCCCAGGAGAGCGCAGAGAAAAGCAGCTGAAGGCCGCTGACCATGGAGAAACCCAGGGAGCAAGAGTGCGGTGCTGGACAGTGACGAGGCGAAGCCATCCTTGCGTCGGTCACAGAACCGCGAGGCCGGCGGGCCCCGAAAGGGCCAGAGGTGAAAACAACTACAGCGGGGCCAGGGGCCAACTATGGCCTGCACGCAACACGCCCCAGCGCTGTCATGCAGACGGTATTGCTGGTAAACACAGTTGGGTCCAAAGGCAGGAAGTGCGAGTACCAGGGAGGGCGGCGGAAGGCCGCCACGTGTGTATATGAAACTGAAGAGCAGCTGAAGGCCGCAGTACCTTTGAGAACCGAGGGAGCATGGTGAGTGCGGTTCTGGACTGAGACGAGGCAACGCCATCGGCGTCGGTCACTGAGCCGCGAGGCCGGGGGACGATGTCCAACAGGGCCAGAGGCGAAAGCAACTACAGCAGGGCCGGGGCCAACTATGGCCTGCACGCAACACGCCCCCGTGATGCCATGCAGACGGTATTGCTGGTAAACACACTTGGGTCCAAAGGCAGGAAGTGCGTGTACCAGGGAGGGCGGCGGCAGGCCGCCACCCGAGTATATGAAACGTAACCCAGGGAGGCAGCTGAAGGCTGCACAGGAGCGTGGAAAACAGACGCTGCACCTGAAACTCTTGGGGAAGGGGGGGGGGGCTCAGTCGCCCCACCGTTGCTTCTTCTCGCCACGGTCAT